GTTTACGTTACGGGAGGAGAGAGAGAGAGAGAGAGAGAGAACGAGGGCACTGAAGTAGAGAGAGAGAGAGGGGCAGGTTATCAATGGCGAACCAAGGGGCGAAGAAGCGCAGGGAAGAGAATCTGAAGCACATGGCCAAGCTGCTTCGTCTCATCATAGCGTGCAACGTATGTTCAGATCTCTCTTAGTCCTTTTCTCACTCTTTCATATACTCCAATCCTTTCCTTTCTCTCTAATTAATTTCATGGTTTGTCCGGTTTTCTAATTTTTGACTTTGAAATTATCAGCCCCCATGGGACCTCTTGTATTAGTAGGTTGATGGTTCAAGAATTACTATATGATTTTAGTATTTTTCCATTTGAAAAATGGAACGATTTGGATTTCTTGCAGAAATCAAGCATTTAGCTTTGAAAGTCGATCACTTTATTATTATTATTATTTTTTTAATGGGTATAGTTGTTGTAAAATTCCTTTTTGTTATCAAAATTTATTTCTGGTATTTTTTTGTTTTAGAGATTTAGTGAAGACTAGATTGTTTTTTTGACGATTAATTGGACTTATTCATTATCCACGTTAAGGATTTCTGATAATGATCGCTGGAGGTTCTCAATTTTGGGTGATGCTTTGATTAATTGAAGTTTGTATGAGGAAAGTTAACATTAATTTGATAAACAATGGGGTAATTACTGTTGCTTCAAAATCTTTTTTTATTTTTCTGGGTAGTTCAGTGGTAGGAATTGAACTTGAGACTGCTAACCACTCTAAGCCCAAGACCTATTCCTAGTTTTGTTCATGCTTAAGTTTCAGTTGAATGGATTTGTAACATTTATTCACCTATAATGTTATTATTGTTGCATTTTTTAAAACTATCTTCTCTATTAGAACTACTCTAGATTTCGATGATGCTGCAAGGTGCTTTCTTGTGAAATGATTTAGAAGATACCGAAAACAACTTGTATTTCTATCTTGTTTGCAAGCCTATATGTTGCTTTTAAAAGGAGAATTGAGTATTTACTAATAATAATAACAAAAAGGAAAATGGTTATTTTTTTAAGCTGGGTGTTTTGAATTATTCCTTTTGTGTTGGCTGTGTACGTAGTAGTTCTCCAAGTGAACTGTGGAATATGTGGAACTTTACTAGCTGCAACTTATTGTGGTTGCTACTACTATTCTTGGTGCATTGAAGCTTCAATAACATTGATAATTCTGGTTCCCTCAATTCTTTGTGCAGTAATTTCCTTTAGAAAAATATAATAAAATTTGTGCTATACTCATGTCATTTTGCTCCAAACAGAGACCATATGACATATGTGAGCCTATTGTTTGCCTTATATGTTTTCCGTGATCTAGAAGTCCTCATATTAGTTTTCCTATTGCTTTACCCTAATGCATTGCATTTTACTTCATGATTCCAAAAAGCAACTTTTGTTTGATAAATAAATGAATTAGCCTTTTGTTGTAGTAACGAAAAGTTTAAACTAACCCTCTTTGATGTCTATACAGGTTATATATGTGTTGATTAGGATGCTTTTTTTCCATTCTACCTTCACCTGGAAGCATTGGCTTGGACTCCTCATAACTTCTGCAGTGTATGCATTTCCCTATTTTGAGCTTTCAAAGATGGCAAAACCAGCGTATGATGACAAGGGGGAGCTCATTGATGGGGGCTTTGATATGACCACTGGTGGATTTTGTGGGTATGTCATGTGATTTTATCTCTAAGCATATGAAATAGAGTCCTAGTGAAATTTGGTAGAGTGGTTATTTGGGTTCTTTTTTCGAATTGTCAGTCCTCCTAGATATATGCAAGATCTGCATGTACTTAATGATTAGGGATCAGCACTCCTTACCAATAATGCAGACCTATTATTCTTTGAATTATAGGCATCTTTCCCTCAAAGTTGCATGCTTCTAGTGTTTGGAATAGTTGAGGTAATTCCTTTGTGGATCATGCTTTCGTCCAACTTTAGCATTGAAGTGAATTAAATTAAATCTCGGGCTAAAATAAACCAACCGTATTCAAATCCAGGTAATATGCTATATTGATAATTAATCTAAATAGTTGATTCAGAATGAAACTGGATCATGCTCGCACAAGTAGTGGTAGTCATGTTGTTTGTTATAGTAACTTCTTCCTACTTGGATCTCCTTCATAGTCTTGTTTCGTGTGATCAATTCCTATTAAATTTTGGACTAACTGCCAAAGATCTGAAGGACTGAAAAGCTAAGTTTCCTTGAGATTTTTTGCAACTTTTCACTGTTATGCACTAGTCAGTGTATATCTTATTTGTGCATGATACTGCTACAATCTAATGATGGCCTCTTTTCAATTCCAAGTGTTTCCATTGTTCCTCGAATATGACTTACTATTTGCTAGTTAATTTATTTAATTTTTTGTTGCACCTTTATGTTTGCAATAATAGCCAAGTGGGGCATGACGTGTCTCTTCATGGGCTGCAGAAATACTTGAATGGAAGCTTGTTTATGCTCATAGCACCCATGGTTTTAATGAATTTCGATGGCTTCTTGGCCCTATTGATTAGGGCGATGCCAAAGTTCCCATTGCAAATTATATTGCCACTTGAAAGTTTCTATAAAATTATGTAAGAAAGTGCTATTCCATGTTAATAATTGCCAATAGGAGAAGCATCATAAATTACTGACTTCGAATAATAATTATTGCACTTCTACTTTCTAGAACTGTTGCATTCTCATGTATGAGACTAATGCCAGTTGATGGTTTTAGTGGGTACACTTTTGATTTCTTATGAAACAGAAGTTTAAATTTTTTCTGAAAACCATTCAAAGGCTTCATTGAAACTAAAAACGTTAAAAAATCAATTGGAAAGATGCCTTAAGGTTCTCCCTCGTGCTGATGCTAAGGACTACTTTCTAGCCCTTCAATTATTAATGTAAATATTATTGAGCAATACCTGAACAATGAGATATTTGGTTCCATTGTGTATTTTCTTGGCATTGGTGGCGTAAAGCAAGCAGGTCTTGATCTTCTAGCCAAGTAACACTATAATTGACTTTAGTGGTCATCCTACACTTAACAAATGTTCTTTCACCAATGCAGTTTGGGATATCTTTACACTAGCCCAGTGTTTCAAAAAGCGCTAGGCGCCCAAAACCTGGGCAGCCCAGTAGAAATTTTATTTTTTTTGGGTTTTCTCTCTCAAAAATAGCCTCTAATGGGTTTTAGGTTTTAAGAAACCCATAATTTTTCCTATTTAGTATTAAAAAAATTATCCAAAAATACCCTCAAGGAGCCGCATTTCCGCCCTTGGGTGGCTCGCAGGCCCTGGGTGGTTGCCTAGGCAGGTTCAGATGGACGCCCAGGGATATCCACCTAGGCTGCCGCCCAGGCACTGGGCGGTACGCTTTTTGAAACAGTGCACTAGCCCCATGTTCTACTTCTAATTTACTCAATTTTGTAAGTTCTACCCTCATCTGCTGTTCCATAAAAAAAATTCCACAGTATCATCAATTTTCTCATTGAAAAAAATATCAAACCATAGTTTCCTGTCAAGTGTTGATGCTGTATATTAAGCCATGACAAGGACCTCATTCGACTTAATTGACCCTCTTATCTTCTGTGAATTATAACGCTTCATTATATTTATTATTTAAGAAAACCGAAGTGTCATTTACATTACAAAAGGTCTTTGCTTACACAAAGCACATTGAACATAATTAATTTCATTTGGGAGAAAAGTACTTACCTTACCAAGTTTGCTATCCAAGCTTTTGATGCAACTTTCTGCCACAGAGCTTATGGGCGGTATCAAGATTAGTACTAGTTGGTTTCTTTCAATGTTTCATTTATCCTGATGTTACTTATTCAGTCAAATTCTTTTTCTATGTAAATGATAAAGGTGGTTGTATCATTTCTTGCTACTGAGGTTTGAAAACTCAGCTCGAGCTTGGGACTCAGGTCCTATCGAGCTTGCTCGAGTTAATCCCAACTCCACTTCGGACTTGGGAAAAATCTCAAAAAATCAAAATTGTAATTAAATGAAATTTCTATATAATCAAACCAAATTAATCTTAAAAATAGAAAAGTGTGCAAAAAAAAGTGTACACAATATCTGTGAAATTGGAGCAGTGAAATACAAGGTCATAGAGTACACAATGTGCATGAGATACAAGATCATCCCACATATATCAGTCCAATACAACAAAATATGAAGACATTTATAGATAATAGGATTGGCATCGGGGATCAATGTACTCTTGGGTCTCAAAATCGGGTGAGGGTCCCTGCCAAATATTTGTGAAATAGAGGGACCAGACTCTGCTAGTCTAGAACCTTATGCAAATTGGCCCCTAAGCCATAGTTGCCAAGACTCCTTCAGCCTTCATGCTCATCCCCACCTCAGCCTGTCTCCATCAACAACTGGCAATGCTCCTTAGCACCCTGGCTGGTTATACCTCTTGCACATCCTCCTGGTTGGTCCCCTCCCCCCACCCCCCTCCCACTCGTAGGTCATCAGGCTCATATGCAACCTCTTCCCTTCTATCTCACAGATATTTGGTCAGGACTCTCAACCTGACAGTGAGACCCAAGAGTACCTTGATCTCCACCAATACTCCTATTATCTATAGATGTTCTTATATTTTTTTTGTTGTATTGAACTGCTATACGTGAGATCAATGTGTATTTCATAGACATTGTGTACTTTTCAGACACATTGTGTACACATTATTTTGTACAAGTTTTCTAGTTTTAGTATTAATTTGGTTTGATTATATAGAAATTTCATTTGATTACAACTTTTGTCGTTTTTTGGGAATTTCCTCAGATTTTTTTTTTTTTCCTGAGTCCATGGTGGACTTGGGCATAATTTGGGCGAGTTCTACTTGCTCGAGTAACACTTGGGCAGGGTCCGAGTCTCGAGCCTTAGTCGAGTTTCCGACCCTTGGTCTGGGTGCCATTGCCCTACAGTTCTGGCTTCAAAGTTTTGTGGTCCTTGTTTGTTCTAGGCTGTTTAGTGCAATCTTTTTCCAAATTTGCTTGGACATACTGATATGTGGCTAGAAGATCCATATTCATGTGTATGAAGGAAGAAGGATGTTTCTTTTCTTGCTTTCTGCCTTGGATATGTAACTCTCTTTGCTTTGCTTGGTTTGAGGAAACATGAAATTTTCTTTTGGGAAAAGTTTATATAAGGTTGCAACCTTAAAATGTAGAATCACAGGTGCACCTCAAAAATCTATCTGCAATGTTGTTTTAATTTTGAAAAACCCTCTAATTGATCATCTCGACATCGAGATGTATGAATATGAAAAAAAAAGTCTTTGAATCTTAGAAATAGTGCATCTTGCAACACATTATCTAGACTGTCCATTTTCAAGATTTTCATATATTTATAGATCTACTTGATTTTAACCATTTTTGGAATTTAAATTTTCTAAGATATGAAATAGATTTTAAGATAATCCTAAGAATTTTTTACAACAAAATTACATGTTATGATAAAATTTGGAGGTGCGCCTTAATTGGATTGTTTAAGGTTGCAACCTTATAGAAACCGCACCCTTTTCTTTGTGATGTTGCACCTTGAATTGAATGACATATGTGAAACAAAATCACCTTTATATCCTTTCACCTTTATATCCTTTCACGTATTTAGGATACTCCTCATTCTTAGACATTTGACAATTATCATTTTCTTTAATGTGGCTGCACTAGGTTTTGAATCTTGTAAAGTAGTGTGTGCCTTAACCACTGACCGAAGAGGTGAAACCAAAATTAAGTGGTGGGTGAATGGGAATCAATCATGGTATTAATTTAGAGAAAAGACGTTGATATTTGAGGCAACCATTGTAGGTGACATATAGTCAAGAAATTCCAATGTAATTATCATTTAAGTAGGGAGATACTAAAGCTTTATTTGGGATGCTTATGAACAATATACTGAGTTCTTTGATGGGGATACTAGAGAATATAGGTTGCATCAATACCAGCACCAATGCACCAGATCCCATCAAAATTGCATAGCGAGAAAGAAAAGAAAAAAGAAGATATTAGGAACTATTCTGGTATAAGCATATTGTTTCACAGCTAAAGGATGCATGTGATATTTATCTTCTACTCTGTGTTATCTGTATACTCTGTTCTACATAGATCCCTCTACCAACCTATTCTAAACTTTGGACTGATACATGAGCATCTGCTTTGATGCAGCTATCTCCATGATGTGATCTATATAACAAGCTTTGTACAGTTAACTTCTATCATTTCTGGAAAATTTTGGTACACTTATTTGGTGGTAAGCGATTATGTATCCTATCAAAGCCATTATATTTTCTTTCTTTTTTTCCTCTGTGTGTGTGTGTGTGTGTGTGTGAGAGAGAGAGAGAGAGAGAGAGAGAAAGAGAGAGATAGAGAGTACCATTTACAGAATATAAAAACCAAACCAGCACATATGATGACTATCTGAACTGAAATGTCTCTCGACTGATCGCATTTTACATGCAAATACGCTTTACATGCAAATGAATCAGATACCAGCATTTGGTGCATACAAGCTTTATGATGTCGCCAAGGGATTCATGTCTCAGGGTTCAGAGGTGAGATGAATTTATTCAGTTACCTTCAATTTATAGGCTGTTCATCGTAACGGACTAACCTTATTCGCACTGTATAGGGAGGGGTGGAAGATGACAAGAGCCGCAAGAAAAGGGAAAAGTTGGAAAAGAAGGCCTCAAGACAAAAATTTGTTAAGACGAGAAATAGATGAAATGGAATGCACCTGTGCAATGATAGCTTGAATGGAGTGAGGGGCTCAAAAGGCCAATAGTATCATAGGAATGACCAAGCTTGAGCTGATGAATCTTCAGTTAACTATAGGAAGCAGTTCCATTTTCTGGTCATTATTCACCTAATGTTATTTTCCCATGTTGAAAGTTTACAAACTTCAAGGCTGTATTTTGGTGCTTGAAAAGTTTACAAACTCGTAAGCTGTGTTCTGGTGCGTGAATGTCAGTATTGGGGAGAGAGAGAGCTTTTGACCATATGTCAAGGGGGGCACTTACTCATTGTACATAAACCATGATTCAAGAAAAGTTGTTCTCACAGGACAGAAAAATGGCGTCCTTCCTCTCTTAAGAGGAGATTCCTTCAACATTCAATAGAATAGGTATTGCAGTGCCATTCAGCAATTTGGGTTGTAACTTTTTGTTTGATTAGTTAGGGGAGGGTATGATATGAAATCTAACATATTTTAAAGTATCACAACTTTCGAATAAAATTGTTTTGGAATTTGTGCCAATTAGTGACATATCACCACCATCAAATTGTTTCACATTCAGTGGTTAACAATGATTGTGACCTCGTATAAAAATAATTAGTCTCATCATATAGCACGAAATAACAAACTGTTTTCACGAATTCAATAGCCAATGATGGCCTTGAATGCAAAGCTTTGCAGGTCAATGGCAAGCTTTGTATCAGATAACCACAAATGTTCCAATCAGCTTTTCTCTCTCTATATGTATAATCGAATTAGAGCCCACCTCAGAAATTTCATTAGAAGAGGTGGTTTTGATGTCCAAATGTCCTCAAATTGATCCTCTCGACCTCACCATACGTGGACATGAGATAAAAATGGATTTTAAATTTTGAAAATTGTGCTTCATGTAATCTCTTTTTTTACCGTAAATTTTCAAGATTTTCATGGATATACTTAGTCTATATTATTTTTTAAACTTTCAATTTTATAATTAAAAATGAAAATATATTTGAAAGCTATCACAAAGATTTTTAGTATTAAAATCATATTTTTCGATACTATTTGAAGGTGCGTTCTATTTTGATTGTTTAGAATCTCGGCTCTATATAAAAGATTTATATGTTTCCTCTACAATATAGAAGTTTTATCCTCTTTTTTATCTAACCCTCTATTTTTTAATGGAGGGTTAAGATTGCCCCAATAACAATGTCACGTCTTTACACTATTTTATTTTTAATTTTTTTTATAAACTGTTTTGACATCAAAGTTTGGATGTCCATTCCTCTATTAAATGCGCACTAGCGAAAAATATAAAAAAAATATTTTCAATAAAATAAAATGATCAAAATACCCCTGAAAGGTTTAAAGGGTATTTTGGTCATTATGTTTTATCAAAAAATTATTATTACTATTTTTTATAGGTGTGCCCCAATGAGAAGATGGCACGTACCAAATGTCATATTCAGAAAATTTGTATTAAAAATAAAATACTTTGAGACGTCAGATCTAAGATCAAACGGTGAGTGGCTCTCTTGATAAAAAATGGATGGCTAGATAGTAAAAGTAAAATAGAACTTCTATTTTGTAAGGGGAACATAAAAAGCTTTCTCATATATATATATGGGTGCGATTTGTAAAGAGCCCAAGCTCTAAACAATCAAATTAGAGCCTACCTTCAAATAGTGTCAAGCAATGTGATTTCAACATTGGAAATCTTTGTAATAGCCTTAAAATATACTTTCATATTTATTTATAAAGCTAAAAGCTTCAAAAATAGTGTAAATCGACATATCTATGAAAAATTAAAAATCTTAAAAATTAACGGTCTAAAAATACATTGCAAGATGCACTATTTCCAAAACTTGCAATCTATTTTTTTCTCATATCCGTGCATCTTGATGTCGAGATGATCAATTTGAAGATATTTGGGCATCAAAACAACCTCTTCTAAGGAA